GCTGGTCCGACTGCTCACCCAGACGCCTGGGCCAGCATGACCACAGTCCAGACATGTTGTTCTTGGAAATACAAAGGACCATTTTCCATCTAGTAGCTGGCCTCCCAGTCACGTTTTTAGCTTGAAAAAAAATGGTTGCAGGAGAGTTTTTCAACCCTAATGGCAATCACACACCTATTACTTTTCTAATGACCAACACCCTCATTTGAAGTGTTCAGTTTCTCTTCGCTGGGAGTGAGTGACTTACCCCCATGTTTCTAAGTAAAAGAAACAGCATTTTAACCCCTTACTGTTCTCAGAACTCAAGACTAAAACAATAAAGTGTGTGATCCTTTTAGAGGTAACCTATTTGAAAATAACTTGGAAACCTGTTGCAAAACGTCAGTGCGGCTGGAGGGTTTGGCCCCAGATCTTTCGCAGCCACGGATCAAGTTCTCTCTTTTGCCCCCATAATCACTCGTGTTCTTCTTGGACCTACAGCTTTTGAGAGCCATCCCTGTTGGGGTCGGCCAAGTGTACGGCTGCGACAACCCCTGGACTGGAGGCATCTTCCTCATAGCTTTGTTCGTATCGTCACCTCTTATTTGCTTGCACGCTGCGATCGGATCCACCATGGGCATGTTAGCAGGTTAGTGTCACTATTAATTAACAGGCTTTATTAATGGACCCTTTAATAATGGGCTATCAGGGTGTTGTGTCTGGGGCCAGCTCCAAACAAATGGTGACGTGTCTTCAGTGCCCCACCTGCTTATTCCTGTAAACTTTTCCTCCTTCCAGGAACCATGTCGTTCCATTTTGGATGCCAGAGCCCCCCTGCATCCCTGAGCAAAAGCTACCCTCTGGAAAGGCTTTGGTGTTAGTCATTTACACTTCAGTATAAATTTAAAGCCGGGGAGGGGTTCCTTCCAGGCAGGTTTATATGTTAAGTCTTACCTCTAATCATGATAAGAAGCAGATAGTCTCTGTAAGAGGGGGAAGTCCTCCAGTTTGGGCAGGAAAGGGACCTCTCTGGACCTGCAAGATCAGATATTAGATCGTTACTCAAAAGGGTATCTTACCCGTCAGTGCTCAACCACCGATATTCACGTGCCTCTAAGGCCATTTGTTTCCTGTAGTTGTTGTTTCCCTGAATAAAGTCAGACGTCCTTTTCTGTAAGTACTTTGGGCTTTGTAACTGGTCTGGGCTCTGGGGACTGGGGTGGACTCGGGGCCGGCAGCTCCGCACTGCACTCAGCCTGTCTTCTCCCCCAGCTCTCACTCTGGCGACGCCCTTCGACTCCATCTACTTCGGCCTGTGTGGCTTCAACAGCACGCTGGCCTGCATCGCCATAGGGGGCATGTTCTACGTCATCACCTGGCAGACCCACGTCCTCGCCGTCGCCTGCGGTGGGTACCACCAGCGGGGCTCCCTTTCCGCCTCAATGATGCCCGTGTCTGTCCTCGCGGAAGAACCACCCCGCGAAACCTCCGCTGCCCCTCCGAGGACAGATGGGAGGATTTGATTGCTGGATAAAAGAGTTTTTATTTAAAATTTAGTGATTCGTATATTAAAGAGGATTTTCACCAGACGCAAAAAGTGTTCAGCCACATGAAGACAGACATTTTAGATGAAGGTGGTCTGGCTGTTGCCCGTGGGCTGTCCCCTGTGAATGCTACCTTCCTGGCCAGTGATTGGAGCTTACTGACAGAGCAGCTCTTACGCAGATTAATCTTTCTGTGTGGAACTGGGTGACTTATATCATGTCAATCTCAAGCGCCCAAACACTGCCTGTAGGGTAATACTTCAAATCGTTCTCGGAAAATGCTGCAGAACGTGGCCAGGATCGCTACCAGCGAGCACTCAATAACTGTCTGATACAGGTTGGCTGGTGTTAACATCCTAGAGATAATGGGGATGCTTTTTGTTGAGAAGTCGAGGGCTGGGAAGCAAAGTCCATTGCTCCGGCCCGTTTTCACAGAACCGCACCTGTCACCAGCGCTTGGCGCTTTCCAGGGGCCAGCGTGGGGGGGGCCCTCCACACCCAGAGCCTAGAAGACCAGGCAGCGGGTCTATCTGGTCTTCCCCAGGCTTACAGAATGCTGCTCCTCCCTGGAAACCCACATTATGTTAATAACTTACGATGAAATATTCCAGCAGGGAGTTCTGGGATTCACTTAAGCCTTGGCTGCACAGTCAAATGTTCATTTATGCTTTATGCTGCTAAACGTCCCTTTGCTAGAATGCAAGGTGGTGGGACCCAGGAGAACCGTAACAGCTAAATCCTGGCCCTTTTTAACAAGGTTCGTCTGGTGTCTCAGTTGGGCCAGCATGTGTGTGGAATTTAACACTTCTCAAACCTGCCAAGCAATGGAAACACAACTCAATTTTTTTTCCAATCTGAGAGAGAACATTTGGGGCATAAAAGGTACGGGGGAGACTATACAGACTAAGCCGGAGGCACCGTCAGGCACCTGACCCTCTCTGTTCTCTTCCAGCACTGTCTGCAGCCTACCTGGGCGCCGCGCTGGCTAACGTGCTATCCGTGGTGAGTCCGCCGGGCTGGGCACGTGCCACTCACTCACGGCTCCCCCAAACCCCTCCCCCAGGAAGCCCTTCCCGATTCATCCCTCTTGTCTCAAATCGCACTTCCGGCCTCAGCACCCACGAGACGGAAGGAGCCGGGCCTCAAAAGTGTGAACGTCAGCACTGGTCAGTCTTGTCATCCGTGGGCCGGTGGGGCCCTGGCAGAAGGCCAGTTTGAGGGGCATTAGCTTGTCAGTCAGACTCCTTGCTTATAGATTTACAATAACCAAACTCCTCTACAACTAGTTTTAAATCTTCACTATTCATATCTTCACTATGTTTCCAGGTTGTCTGCCCAACTATCTTGTGGGCCAGTGTATATCTTTGTTCTTCCCAAAGCCACAGCCATGGAGAGGGGTCACGTGGGGAGGCGTCAGGGGTGACAGGGAGCCAGGCCCCAGAGGAGCTGGGGCTGATGGCCGTGGGCGTGCGCAGCTTTGTCCGAGAGCCCTGCTTTGTCTATGCCCCATGGAGGTGGTGCATGAGGTCAGGGGGAGCCGCACTGCCGGCCCCGGCCCCCCACATACACGGGAGGGGCCCCAGCCCCAGCCCCAGCACCGAGCACTCAGGGCTCAGACTGTAGGCAGTACCTCCCCCTCCATAAGGATTCAAGGCACAGCTCACATAGGCGACCAGGAAAAGTCCCGATGGTCCTGCAGGTGAGGGTGGAGATGGACATTCCACTAACACCTGTTTAAATCCCTCCCTCACCCTCAGTGAAATTGGCTGGTTTGGACATAGCACAGGAAGGGATTTTTTTAAGCAATAGAATTGGCCTTCCCTGATGCCATCCTGTGTCCCCTTATGGACTAAGTCCCTCCTCTGGGCTGCGTCAATTTTGTGGGCACGTCTGCTACAACGCTTGACAAGAAGCATTGTAACAAGTCCAGTCCCCATCACTCCTCTTCCACCTTTAGCCAATGTGCTCCTTGTCTTGATCCCTAGTACCTATTACAGCACTCAGCACATAGTAGGTGTTCAAGAAACGTGGGATGAACGAAGCCCTAAGGGAGTGAGCGCCTCCCCATAGATTAGAGCTGGGGCCGAACAGCACATCATCAGACACACTGATGGAGGAGTCTGTGTCTCTGAGGCCCCTGTGCTCCAGGCTTTCCCATCTCTTCCTGCATCCACCCTTTCACCCACTTGTCCATCCCATAAATACGTGTCATGTGCTTTCCTTGGACAAGGCACCAGAAAGATGAAAACAGGAGGCTTTGACTCCGGACCAGAGCTATTTACAGGGTGACTGTCCCTCCCCTCTGTGTGCCAAGAAGTTACAGGTTATACCACCCAGTCCAGACATTTCTCAAAACAAAATCAAGTTTACTTTCTGGGTCCCTACAATGTTTAAGACACTGAGCTGACCTCTCGGGGATTAAAAAAAAAAATTGCAGGCTCTTAATTCACTCTGAAGGAATCTTCAGTCTCCTTGAGGAATGGGACATAAAAATGTTGAATCACGTTTATGGGACCGTTCAAGCCTCCACAGAAGAGGTCACCTGGGAGCCGCACGGTTTTGCTTTCTAATTGGTACCCGCACGTGCAGCCCCGTGCCTTCAGCAGCGCTGCCGTCTGATGGTGATGACCACAGACCGAGGACTGTGTGCTGAGCGCTTAGTACACACTAGGCACCAACTCTCTGAGTAGATGTCCTTATCCCTGTTTTACTAACAAGGAAATAGATTTCAGAAAGATGTAATGGCTACAACAAAGTGACCAGAGCTGAGATTCGGATCTAGGTTCTGTGGAACCCCCAGCCCACACATCCTTGCCACTGTAGGACTTGAAAGGGATGCTTCCCAAAGCACGCTGCGCAGCCTAAGCAGGGCTTTAGGAAGACTCACTGAGTGGGATTCATCAGTCATGGGTGTTCCTTAAGGTGACAGTTCCGGTACCAGGCTGTCACCGTTCCTACTTAAGTCCCATTCAACAGGGCCTTCTTTGAAAACACAGCACGACCACCGTGGTTACGCCAGTGGTATTAACTGAGATTCTGGCTGCTTATAATAAAAGGATGTTTGGAGGAGAAGGGGCCATGCTTCATAGTTTAATCTGCAGGCTCTTTGCTAACCATTCAGGCTAGCTCAAAGGAAGAGTGGGGAGGGATATTAAAAAGCCTGTGGGCATCTTAAGGAATAAGAAACTGGTGAGCATCTTGAGGAAGGGTGTTGGGGATGGGCAAGCCCTTGAGAGAAGAGATAGCTGCTCTATTTCAGCCCCCGGGGACGGAGATGTGACATCCTGCTCTCTCTAGACGTCTGCTCTGTTTCCATGTCTCTCTGTGATGGGTTTCTTCCGCTGCACAAAGGCCCCCAGATATCCACCCGGCACTGCCTGGCTCTCCAATTTTAGATCAAGAGCCTCTGGGCTAGTCCCTGTGCCTCTTCATTCAAATTCTCAAGAGAGGGATTCTATCCCCAGGCCGCCTGCCTCCGGGAAGCTGTATTTGAGTCAGGTGCCTGTCTTGAGTCCAGTCAGACATGGCTAGAGAGCAAAAGGTCTTGAAGTAAACCATGGCTGCTGAAGCCGTTCCTTCACCAGGGGCTAAGGGAGCAGGTGGGGAATGTCTCTGATTCCTAGAGTGGGAGGAATAGCCCGGCTAGACAACCAAGACAGAGTATGTCTCCACATAAAGGCAGATTATAATAAGATTCCAGTGGCTGCGTTTTGAAGAATCTGTGTTCACCTGTTACCGTGCAGGCAGACACCACCAGCACGATTTGATCCATACTGCTCATGTGTTAAGTGTTATTCCGCTCAGCGCCCGCAAGGCTTCCCCTCCTCCACCCGGGGCTGTAGGTGATCGCTGAGGGCCAGTGGGACAGGCACAGGCATCCGATGTAACCACGGCTTCTCTTGTGACCCCCTCTCCCGCAGTTCGGATTACCTCCCTGCACCTGGCCCTTCTGCCTCTCCGCCCTCACCTTCCTGCTCCTGACGACTAACAACCCCGCCATCTACAGGCTCCCGCTCAGCAAAGTCACCTACCCAGAGGCCAACCGCATCTACTACCTGTCCCAGGAGAAAAACAGAAGAGCCTCGACCATCACGAAGTACCAGGCCTACGATATCTCCTAAGCTGCCCTTTCCGAAACATGTCACCGTAAGTTCAGCCCTCGGCAGGCTGTCCAGGCCCCCGGGCTGAAGGCCGCTGAGACTCTCCTGTCTGTCCTGTGATTCTGCCCCAAGCAAGCCTGCCGGCAAGTTATTCCCCAAAACGGGGGAATCTGCGTGCCGTCGCCACTCAGGAACCTCTCTGTTCCAAGGTGCACAACACTTAGCAAAGATAGGATTCGTTCAGAGTTTATACCCATAGCTCACTGCATACCAGCTCCCTTCGAAGGGAGTTTTCCCTCTTTTGCAAAGTAAGCCACATCCCTAAAGAGAACTCACCAGAAGGGGACGGAGATTGGTGACATGATCAGCCAACTCAGTCATTTAATACGGTGTCAGGAAATGAGCCTAGAAGACAAAAGGGCCGTCTGCCCCCCGGCTCTGCCCCTAATGAACTCCTACCACTTAGCTGAATCCATCCCCCCTCTCAGCCTCAACTACTTAGTGGTTTCAAAACAGGGAGGGACCTCACAGTCCCCTCCACCTCAGATGTGTTGATTCTTCTTTCTCCTGTAAACTGATGATATTAGCATAACTAACAAATAACTACCTTGAGCTAAAAATGGAAGGACTACCTAGAAAAGAGGTCAGACAACTTCAGTGTTCAATGGAGATTCAGCCTTGAGTCATGAGAAGATGTTCTCCAGACTTGGGGTTGGAAACTTAAATTCACGGGAAATGCCAACGTGCCTTCCTTTACATGACAGGTATTTCTGGAAGTGTCATCAGATGAAAACTGATCTTTTTCAACATTCAAATCATATTTTAAACGTGTTTCTCTTGTAATATTCATAAGCCTACTCTCATTAAACAGCTAAGCTTGCAAGTCGGTGTCAGGGTTTTCTTAAAATGGGGCTCACCTACGTTTGTCCACACAGTGTCCACTTGAGGGGTTTTCCACGGTCAAGCCTGTGTTTGAAAAGAGATGAGATTGGGGTAAAAGGTATCCGAAGAGGGTCTGATTGGCTTACAAAGGGAATTATACAGAAATTACCTTGGTCCTTGTTTTCTGTTTGAGTTGACGTCCAGGTTGTTAAAACCCATCTCACTTTTTCGGGAATAGTCTTTTAGTCCTGGACCCAAAAATGGCTAATCTAGCCCCTCTTGAATGGCCAGCAACTCTTATTCTTTAGTTGCTCTGGTTACAACAGTGAGCTCCAGAATATATGTATGTATATGTAAGACTGGGACACTGTGCTGTACACCAGAGATTGACACATTGTAACTGACAGTACTTCAGTGAAAACAAAAAACAAAACAAAAAAAAACAGCGAACTCCTAAAACACAGGACCCCTTTGTGGGGAGCCGCGTGGCTCAGCCTTCCCACCCCTCCCCCAGGGGACAGGGATGAACCCCTTACAGTGCCTCAGTATAAATCCATCATTTAGCAATAGCTGGCACCTACATTTTTCTTTTCTCTGTCAGCCCTGAGATCCCAGCCATCTTCCACCAGCCTCAGAACCCCGGGCTGCCTATTTCTCTTCCAGATTACATGCAGCCAATCATGACCTCTCCAGGAAAATGGAACACCCCTCCCTGGAAACAAACGCCCCACAGAGGGAATGGGGAAAGTCACACTCCAGAGGCTACCTCTGAGTTTGTGATCACACCTCGAGGCCAAGAAGGTCTCAGGCTGTGTTTTAATGACCAGGGAGTTACGGCTCTCTGAGGATCAAGCATCCAGGAATTTCACCAGAAGGCTGTTCATGCTTGCAGCTCACTCAGCTGCCCCAGAACCTCTCAGTGATGACATAGAACTATTAAAAATACCACTTTTCATGCATTTTCCACCAAAGCATTTTAATCTGGTTTTATGAAGAGGAGGAAACCCTCCCCATGCCTGACATTCTGATTACTGGCCACTAACAAATCCCTTAGGTGTTAAGTATTTCAGTATCCTCACTTATAAAGCGTGTTGAGTCGGCCCAGGATTCCAAGCAAGGTGGAGATAGATGGGATAGGAGCATTTGATTTATGAAAATGTGCAACACCCACCACAGCAGGGAGTCCACTCCAGCCCCTCAATTAGTGGCTGTGGGGAGCCAGCTCCAGGCAGCTCCTGACACTGAGCGCATCCCTCCACTGCCACATTTAGTGACATCACCTGGAGAGCCTGAAATCTAATCGGCCACGCTGGGAGAATTTACACCACAGAAATCAGCAGACCACAAGTTGGAGCTTTGTTTTCCCAGACGGCCAGCTTATCGGCACACCACAGACAAGTCACTGTGGTGGGAAAAGCAGAGAACAAACGTAGGCTTCCTAACCGGAGACTCCGAGATGAGGGCCAAAATGTTCAACCCTGCGATGCCACTCCTCACACACAAGGCATGTGAGAGAACAACTGAAGTGTTCTCAGGCAGAAGGTTTACCCACAGAAACCTACACTGAAAGCACTCTGAGTGGCAGCGTCTAAATAAGGGGAAAAATGAATCCAGGAAACGCTGCAAAGAACACAAGAAGTGCAGGGCAGTCAAATATGTTTACTGTTTATTAGGACCAATAGGAAAAAATTGAAGAAATACACTGAGAGCTGGAATATCAAATGATGGCAGGGGTGGGGGTGGCAGAAGAGGCAGGAGAGCCTACTAGAGTGCTCAGCTTGTACCAAAATTGGTAAGTTTACGAAGTCCACAGGGAGGAATCCACATGCCTGAAAAGGGCAGCCACCATGAGAACAAAATTAGAATTACAATCTTTGAACCAGAAGAAAACTCTCTTTCCAATGGAAAGCAGAAAAGGAGAAAAATATTACAGGAAGTGCCCCCTCCAAAAAAGATAGCAAGCAGAAACAATAGACAGAAGATAGAAATTAGTCGTAATATGACAGTAATTGACCAAAACAATGTTAAATGTTAAATTTACCACTGGAAGACAGAGACACTCAGGTGGTACTTCTTTTTTTAAAGACTTAACAATTTTCTGTTTACAATAAACACATCTAAAACAGAAGGATATAAATCTTTGAATGTGAAAGGATGACATAAGATATGCTGAACAAATCAGGACCTAAAGAAAGCGAGGCTATCAACCATAGTGCCTTGAAAAGTGAAATTGAAGGCAAAAAGGGGAAAGGACAAAGAAAGACGTGAAAGGAACAGCAGGACAAACACACACAACAATCATCAACACTTATGTGCTAAACAATCAGCCTCAAAATACACCCAGCAGAAAGAAACTAATAATTGTAGCTAAGATTCTGCCGAAACCTCAGACACTGATCTATCATGAGAATGAAAAACTGGGCAGAGATTTCACAGGTATGAACAAGAGAATAAGTGAGCTCTAATATACGTGTAGGATTCTAAACCCTCCCACTCAACACCCCCCCTAAATATGTATTCTCAAATAGAGAACATGCATTCTTTCCAAGTACTTGTAAGGCAAGCTTGGACTTCTCACCCGACGCTGGTGGGAAGTTGACCACTGCCGCCATCTGGAGGGCAGGTCCTCAGAATTTAGTCATGGTGAGTGTTTACACCTCGTGTGGCCCAGAAACTCCCCTCCAGTGTATAAACAGTTCCCAGGAGGGCCGTTCATCACAAGCTTTGTTCATTCATATGTACATACACACATACATATATACACACATATGTATATACTCACATGTGTATGTACATCTACATATATATTGTTTTTGCTCTTTCCTTCATAGAACTAGCCCACTGATGGGCACACAGTAGCCTCGAGAAATAATTGATTAACTGAAGCACTCCCTTGTCCCCAGTCTGTCGTCCTACAGAGAGAGCCCTTCACTCGTACTGCAGGACCTGAGATCTGCTTCACATATGTAACCAGATGCACATAACTGACACGCAGCTGCTCAGAGAAGTCTGCTGACAGAATCTAGCCTCCAAAACATCCTGCCTGCAGCCTCCTCCCAATGCATATTCCCTGAACAGTGATTAGGGGACAAACTCTTCAGAACAGACACATCATCCAACCCTAAGCCTGTCATCATTCTATGGGTAGTAACTCGTGTCCTTGGTTGCCATCCCTTTCTTACAGAGCATCTGCAGTTTGGACCCAAATCAGATGATGGTCTCAGATGAGGCAGGTGGACGAGGGACTAGCGGCTCTCAAACTCAAGTGTGCATCAGAATCACCGAGGAAGCTTGCTTAGCAGATTCACTGCTGGGTCCCATCCCCAGAGTTTCTGATTTGGTAGGTCTAGGGCAGGGCCTGAAAATTTGCATTTCTAACAAGTTCCCAGGTGATATTGATACTCTTGGTCCAGGGATCACACTTTGACAGCCACTGGTATAGACTTAGAAACAGAATGCTATCTTTTAGATTCATATAAGTGATATCATATGACATGTGTCTTTCTGTCTGACTTACTTAATATAATCTCTAGGTCCATCCATGTTGTTGCAAATGGCATTATTTCATTCTTTTTCATGGCTGAGTAGTATTCCTCTGTGTGCACGCGTGTGTGTGTGTACATATACACATATATACATATACACACACACATATACCACAAGTGAACTTAAATACTTAAATTTACAAAACAGAAACAGATTCATAGACATAGAAAACAAACTTAAACTTACCAGAGGGGAAATGAAGGAGGGATAAATTAGGGTTTGCAGATACTAACTCTCTATATAAAAGAGATAGATAACCAATAAGGTCCTACTGTAGAGCACAGGCAACTATATTCCATATTTTATAATAACCTATAGTGAAAAAGATATGAAAAAAGAATATACATTTGTATGTATAACTAAATCACTATGCTGTACAACAGAAACTAACACAATACGGTAAGTCAACTATACTTCATTTAAGAACAAAAAACAGGATGCTCCCTTCTCTCCTGTTTGCATGTTGTAATACACTGGTTTGCAAACTCATGTGCATGTAAGAAACATCTGTAGTGCTTATTAAAACCCAGATCCCTGGATCTTAACTCCCAAGATTTTGATTTAGTAGACTGGGTTGGAGCCAAGAATCTGCATTTCTAACAAACTTGGATAATACAGATGTTGCTGGATCAAGGTCCAGAATTAGGGACCATTGCTTAGTAACCTTTAATCCTGGCTATGTTAGAATCACCTGATTCTGATGCCCAGGCCCCTCCCAGACCAATGAAGTCAGCAGTGGGCCTGGGAATGCGCCTTTATTTCTTAAAGCTCCTGGTGTGGTTCCAAGGTGCAGCCCAGGTTGACAACAACTATGGTGTCTGTTTCCTGGGCCCTGATTTTCTGTCTCCCACCAGAGTCACTCCTGCAGACTTTAGGCCCCCGCCACCCTCAGTCCCAAGGTGGATTTTGAAAAGGGGACAGCGGGCCTGACTTGGGTGCAGTGAGAAGCCCTGAGTGCCTGGAGGCAGGAGACAGGAGGCACAGAGAACCCTTGAAAGTGAAGTTTGCCTCTTTTTCGGTGTTGTTGGGTCTCAGTCCTATGCCGCAAGGGAGACTAGATTTAAAAAAAAAAAGGAAACCACTAGCAGGAAACATCAGCCCAGGAGGCTGTGCAGAAAAGCAAGGTTTTGCATTGGCCTCGGAAGCCTGATGAACGGGCGGCCTTGGCCCTGAAAAGGAGGAGTGAAGCAGTGGGACGGTCAGCCGCACCGCCGCCCACGCTGCTCTCAGCCCGGAGCCCATGTCCCTGGCTCTGCGGACACAGGCAGCGCTGGTCCCGCTCAGAAGTGTGGCTAGAAATGAGAAGCTGCCGGTGTGCTGTCTGAGCAGGTACGGGACGGGGTGGAAGGCGGCACAGGGGTGGGGACAGAGTGGGGGTGGTGGGGAGGCAGTGACAGTGGCCGCTGCTGTTGTAGGTGGACCGGCAGGTGGGCGGGACAAGAAACTCCATCAAGA